TGTTTTCAGGATTAATGTTGAACACCCTCTCCTCTGCATAGCCTAATGCCCAAGGTTCTATCAAGATCTTAATGTTTGTGAGGTCCTTCATTCGTGTCAACCAGTGGCACAAATCCCTACACCTTGGACCTAAAGTCGCATAGAGCCCGGGTTCAACGACACGCTGGAAGGGAGGCTCAGTATGAGTATGAGGCTGCTGTGAGGAATGTTGACTAAATGAATTATGAGAGTCGAGTTGCTGCGAGGAATGATGACTAAGGTGGGGAGAATCCTCCGAGTACGCTGATACACGGGAGAATCCTTTGGTAGAAGATTCCACGCCCCTCAAGGTAGGTAAGACAGGAGACCCTAATGGAGGCTGCATATACTCATTTATAAGGTCATAATATAATTGAACTAATAAATAATAGAACGAAAGAAGTCCGAAGAAGTAAGATTAATATATACTTACATCTCCAAGGTGAACCAAGGCTTTTGGCCAGGCACACATGCTCCCCAAAGTCGAAGAAACAGTGGTGTGCTCATCCGTCAAAGTCGGTATAGGATAGTCCCCCATACCATCAAGCACCACATCAACAGATACTTTGACATGGTTGTATGGGAGGGGAGCATTGTGAAGGGACACTCCTGGAGAGCACGGGAATACTGATCCACGTGCCACTATGGCATCAATAGGATCAGTAATACTCATGTGGCAATGACTCATCTTCAAAAAATGAGAATACACAAGTTTAATAAATATGACTTTTAAAACATAAATTTGTCTATATAAAAAAGGTTTACCTCAGTAAGGTGTGCAAATGGGTCAGGATCTACCGAAGCCTTGCTGCTCTGCTGAAACTGTGGTGTAGACATGGGCAATTGTTGCGAAATGTTGGCAATGTTCTCAATGCTGCCTGACACTTGAACTCCAAGAGACTGAAGAAGCTGGGGAAGTCGTTATGTGTACATGGTGAACGCGTCATTAAGGACAGAGTTCCTGAACTGCTCCAAGTCGTCTTGCGTCATGAACAATCCATCAGACTTTTGAGACTTCTTTTTCCCCTTAAAAACATTTCGTAGCCCGACGAGTGACCCGACACCTCTAGTCCTGCCAGGATGCTCAGAAGTACCGAGTGCACGAGTGAGAATGTCATCATGTCCAACAGCCATGAAAGTCCCTGCTTGAGCATCAGCTTTCAACTTCACCTGTAAATATTGACAATATTACTAATGTTTCAAAAAATACATATAACGAAGCATTAAAAAATATCTAGACAATGTACATACTATCCTTTCGGCAACTTCCATAACCCCAAATCAAACTCCAAATCAAACTCAATTCGAGAATCCATACTTAATCTTAAATTAACCCACATGATCAAACATTCCAACAATCATAATCACGGATTCCCCGTCAGTTGAGCAAAAACACATCAACAATAAAAATATAAGATGACGAAACTAACACAACTAGCATCCGATATTATAAAAGAAATTTCCCAAAGGCAACAAATAGTTCAAAGATTTGGACCTTTTCAGTTCGATGGCCGCCGTCAATATCCGTCCGGCGAAGGTCAGATTCGAATCTTCGCGTTAGATGCAGCGCAGATGGTCGACACAGTTTCTCTCCTCTGTCGACGAGAGCTCAGTCTTCCGTCCGGTCTCCTCCGTAGACGAGAGCAGAGTTCCAGTTCTCATGAAGCCGAAGCCTAACCGTCTCAGATAGAATAGAATGTGCGGCCTCCTATCTCCTTCACACAAATAAAGTTTTAAACATTATAAAATAAACTCATTTAAAAGTATGTTTACTAATTGGTCCAATAAAATTTATATTAACAAAATACAAAAGAGTATTGGCATCGATTGTTAAAGAACACCGATGCCTTTGTTATATTAATTACTCTCTCCGTTCTATAAAAATGTTCCTATTTTGACTTTGTGTAAAAATAAGAAAGTGTTAAATTGTAGTTGACTTTCAATTTTGCCCTTGATGTGATGGGTAAAAGTAAGATGTGATGGATTGAATATTAGAGAAAAAGTATGATGTGATAAGTAGGGTATGAAAAAGTAAGGGTAAAAGTGGTTTTTTAATAGAAAGTGGAAGTGTTTTGCTGGAAGTAAAAAAAATAAAAGAGGAAGAGTTTTTGAAAACAGAGGGAGTAAAAAAGAATAATAGTATTGGCATCGGTTAAATGAAAAAACCGATTCCTTTGTATTTTTAAGAATTTCGAAACTTTAAGCTTTGGTCTTAGCATCGGCTCCTGCAAACAACCGGTGCATTTGCATTAATATTTGAAAATATTAAAAATAAAAAATAGGTATTAGCATCGGTTGTTTTGTATAGCCGATGCCATTGAGCAATTGCATCGGTTCTATTAAATACCCGATGCTAATACCTATTTCTTTTTTCCAAATTTAATTTTTAAAAAAACAATTGCATCGCTTTTAAAAAACAACCGTTGCCTTTGCTCTTTTGCATCGGTTATTTTTGTATGCGATGCAATTGAGGGCAGTCCTTTTGCCTTTTTTTGTAGTAGTGTTAAGATAGGGTACCTTTTTGTTACAAATTTAAGAGTTGGGATACCTCAAGTGAAAAAATGTCTCTAACTAGCATTACTTACTAATTAATTCAGTAATTACAACTATTATAGCTGTTAATAGAAATGGATCTTTTTATACAACGTAAGAAGTAAAAATGGTATCTTTAATTAAATTTAATTTAATTTTAATGCATACAAGAATTGGTGTGGGCACAGGTGCTAATGAGAAAAGTGGGAGAGAGTCATTCCTAAAATGAAAGATGAGTACAATGTGAAAGACATCATGAAAGTAGAAAGTAATGTCATAGCTATCAACAATTATGGTCTATTGTGCTTAAACCCAGATGATTACCGAAACATTCTAATGCACCATTATCAACAGAATGTGGGACATACTCAAAGTAATTTATGAATGTATGGATCAAGTTCATGAACATAATATTGATTTCTTAACCCATAAATATGAGTTGTTAAGAATGAAGGAGAATGAAAAGGTTGAGGAAATGTTCGATCACTTCTCCAAAATTATAATTGATCTTGATGCTCTTTGAAAAAAGTATTTGGATAAGGACATGGTAAGAAAATCATGCGAAGTCTCACTCCCGGATGGTGTTCAAAGTTGATGTTATCTATGAATTATATATTTGGAAGAATTAAAGTCACCATTGATGGGCTTCAAGGCAATCTTACCACATATGAATCTATTACTCTTAACCCATCTTTAGATGACAAAAAAGAAAAAAAAAGGATGTAGCATGTAAAGCAACTCCACCACAAAAATCAAGGAAAGAAGACTTTAGTGATAGTGACAACGAATTTGTATTCGTTATAAAAAAGTTCTACAAATCCAAGGGCCCCTAAAATGCTATGGATGTGAAGAAATTGGTTACTTTGATCTGTATTGTCGGAAGCTCAAAAATGACAAAGAGAAGAAGTCCTTTAAGAAGCATCAACAAGCTTATTATTGACCTTTGTATTTTGATAATGACAATTATTTTACGGGACTTAGACTAATGGATTATTTAGATACAAGCTCTGGATTTGAAGTAAAGTTCGAAAAAACAGGTTCTCTATATTTTATACTCTCTCCGTTCCACAAAACTCTTCCCCTTTCGTTTTTTTTTGAATTCCCTAAAACACTTCCACTTTCTATTAAAAAACCTCTTTTATCCCTACTTTTTCATACCCTACCTATCACATCATACTTTTTCACTAATAACCAAACTATCACATCTTACTTTTCCCATCACATCAGGGGCAAAATTGGAAAGTCAACAAAAATTATACTTTCCTTATTTTTTTTCCAAAGTCAAAACCAGAAGGGCTTTGTGGAACGGAGGGAGTATAACATTCCTTTTTCATCATAATTGATTGTTAAAGTGTATGGCTCATAATTGATACACCTAGTCTTACTTCATTTATATTCCTCTAGAGAGTCTTAACTCGTAACCTAAATCAAACCTAAGAAGAAAAGAACTCATAGAAAAAAAGGATATTGTATCCATACGCGTGGAAGGAACACCAAAAAGAACGATTATTACTTCCTCCGTCCTATAATGATCTTCCCAGAGCACTATTCCAACTTCACGAGAATTTATATTTATTTGTGTTTTTTCATGCCTTATGATAAAATAAAATATTCTTGTCACCACTTGTTTTGTTGAACTTTTGGTGTAGTTTTTAAATATGTATGTTTTATTTTTTATTTCTATACCAATATTTAAATAAAATAGATTGAAAAAACTTAGGATTTTTCTTCGTTTTCCGTCCTATAATGATCTTCCCGGTTCGCAAAACGAAGAAAAATCCCAAGTTTTTTCAATCTATTTTATTTAAATATTGTTATAGAAATAAAAAATAAAATATACATATTTAAAAACTACACCAAAAGTTCAACAAAACAAGTGGTGACAAGAATATTTTATTTTATCATATAGGCCATGAAAAAACACAAATAAAAGGATATTGTCTTTATCTAAAGAAAACATGAATCACAAAATTACTCTTGTCTTTGTAAACATGAAAGGATATTTTTTCACCTAGAGCATTACCCAAAAATAAAGTTATTTAGAGAAAATAATATGGAGCTCATTTAGAACATTTGATTACATGGATTATTTAACAATTTTTTAAATTGGAGAACCATTTGCCAACTAGACCTGGCAAATCGGTCGGTCAGGTCGGGTTCGGGTTCGATCACCTTGGGTTCGGGTTACTTCGGGTTCGGTTAAGTTCGGGTTCGGATTGATAACTACATGTTCATGACCCAGTGTCATCGGGTTCGGGTTGACCCAACGGGTTATGAGTTTCATTTATTTTTTGAAATTTTAAGTAATTTTTATGACTTAGTGTCAATATTACGAATAAAAAAATTAAATATGTAGAAATTTCGAAAAAATGTAAGATAAGTATGCGACATCATTAGAATTTGTTATGATGCTATAAATTTATACACAAAAAATGAGTAGTAAGCAAAGAAATATAATCATAATCTTATTTTTATAACACTATATTTCATATTAAAATGTATGATTCTGAAAAAATCTTAGATTAGTGGGTCGGTCAGGCCGGGTTCGGGTTCGGTCGGGTTTGACCCATTTTTAATGGGTCATTTCGGGTTCGGTCAACTTCGGGTTCGGTCAGCAAAACCTTTGTTCAAAACCCAGTATTTTCGGGTCGGGTCTCGGGTCAAAAACAGATCGGGTCATTTTTTGCCAGGTCTATTGCCAACTCAATCATAAAAGCCATAACAAACAAGTCACAACTCACAACTCATTTGTTTTCGGAATCTGATTGGTTACACATATCCACCGTTGACTCGAATGATCTGGCCGTTGACCCACTCACCTCCGTCACCGGCCAAGAATGCAACCACCGGAGCTATGTCCTCCGTCTCCCCAAGTCTGCCAAAGGGACTCTCATCCATGGCCTTCTTCATCGCCTCCTCCGATTTCCCATCGAAGAACATGTCCGTAGCCACCGGCCCAGGCGCCACGCAGTTCGCCGTTATCCCCGTCCCTTTCAGCTCTTTAGCCAGAATCTTCACCATCGCTTCCACGGCCGCTTTCGACGCCGCGTAAGCCCCGAACCCTGGCCTCAGCGCCGCCACCAACGACGAAGTGAGACAGATGATCCTCCCCCCGCCGCCGCGCTTGATCCTGTTGGCGGCCTCCCGGCAACAGAGGAACGCGCCGCGCGTGTTGACGCTGAAGGTCCGGTCAAAATCCTCGATCTCCGTACCGGCAATCGACGGGTACCTGGCGTCCAGCACGCCGGCCGAATTGACCAGAATATCGACCGAGTCGAAAGCCGCCTCTGCCGCGTCGAACAGGGACTTCACCTGGGCCGGATCCGACACGTCGGCTTTCACGGCGATTGCTCGCGGTGTTCGGCCGGAATTGAGCTGGGAGACGACGAGGTCGGCCTGAGCGGAGTTGGCGGTGTAATTGATGATGAGTTCAGCGCCGAGAGAAGCCAGGTGGAGGGCAATGGCTTTGCCGATTCCTCGCGACGAGCCAGTGACGATTGCCACCCGATCTTTGAGCGGGCTCATCTGCCGGAGAACGCTGCTTTGCTCGGCGGCCATTTGATCGGCGGATCTTGATGTTAATGATTACTAATTAGCGATGATCCAAATTGATCGAAATGTACTCCATTTATCTACGACTTCTGTAGGGTGTATATTGAGTCCCAATTTTCATTACTCTATCTATTTATTTAGGGAGAATTCTCAATTTAGTATCATATTTTTTATTTTTTTCAATATATTGGTCACTGTTTTTTGATCATTGTTCAAGTAAATATCCACTATTATACATTGTTCATATTCCACCATCACTGGACATTATTCTCATTACTATACATTATTCAAATACTGTTTAAAAAATAAAAAAGTTTAAGTATTACATTTAGAAATGAGACATGTTTTAGTTCTATTTTGTCTAAATTTCACTTTATTTAAACATTTGCTTTGAATATATTTTAAAACAAAATATTGTTTTCACCATAGTTTTAAAAACTTGACCGGACTGGCCAGTTCGGACCATAAATCGGCGAACCGGTGGTCCAACCGACCGGTCCGGCCCGTTGGACCGTAATATGCTTGAAATCGGTTCGAACCGACCGGTCGAATCGGTCCTCCTAGTTTTTTTACAATTTTTTCCCCAAAATATGCATCCGTGTGGGTTTGAACCCAATACCTCTTAAACATTTGGTTGAGTCCTAACCATCAAAGAAGTGATTTGAGAAAAGATATAATTAAAGAATGCTAGTTTGAAACTTCTTAATAGTTTATACAATAAAAACATCAAAATATATTGCACTTAATAATGGACATTTTTAATGAAAACTTACCAAGAAAATAAATTTCAAGTAACATAGAGATAATTATTACTTATTGATGAATAATTTGAAAAACTAATTTTGAGAAAATAGAACATTTTGTTGTCATTATCTTTCTATACTTTGGTTTTCCACAAAAAGAAAGAGTGTAAATTAGACCTAATTTTGGAGAGACGAAAAGGGATGGAAAAAGCACGTGGAAGTGCGAAACGTGCCAACTCAAAAGGAATACGGACAGCCCATGCCTTAAAAGTGCGGAAGCTGATTCCATGCCATCGCCATAGCCATAGCCATAGCCGCGCCACCACTTTGCGCAATCTAACCCCAGTACCAAGACACTCAAGAATCATCCGATTCTTATCGTATATCCAATTCCCAATTCACATGAATTGTTCTAATTGCAGAATTTGTGTTTTTCACGAGGTGTTAAAGCTCAAGGGTTCGTCTTTTTTATTCAAAGTGGTAGGTTTTCCTGTTCAGATTCAAGGCTATTTCAAGCACTTCCTTATTCAATTCCTACTTCAAGATTCCATTTTTGAAAAATTTATCTTTTTTTAATGGGAAAATCTTATTTGACACCCAGACTCTTGTCGGAATTTGAGTGCATATGAGTTCAGGACAATCAGGATTTCGTGTTTGGTTTCCTGGAATTGGGGGAAAATGCATAGAAAAATGATATCTTGGTCTTTATGTAATAGAAATACATTTTAAAAAAAGAATGAGTCTGAACATAAGTTTTGTTTTCCCTTTCATTCCAAATTTTTGGTATATTTTCATCTCTTTATTGTCCTTCGAACATTTGGAGTTCCTGACTGTACAGATGTTCTCTGTTGGGTTTTTGGATATAATAATTGTAATAATAATTCCATCTGTTCTTTGGTGTGTGACAATAGGGGTTTTTTGTTGAAACTGCTTATTGTAGTCTGGCTGTATTAAATGATGGGAAGAAGTCTTAGCCCTTTACTACAGAAGGAACTGGAGAAGAATCTTGAATTGGATATGAAATCTAGTGAAGGGTTATTGGGCACTTCAGCTGACAATGAAGTGCGTAGTAACGCAATCTCACTCGATGAGGTTGATAACATCATGGGAACCATCATCAAGACCTTGAAATCATCCACTAAAGAGTCATTTCCACTCCATTCTCAATCTTGCTTAAGAGCAATTTCAGCCATAGCAAGGTACGGGATGGGCCCCACTACCCCAGAAGAGAAGAAGCAACACATCGTTCGCTCCCTAGCCAAGCCGCTCTCGGACTGCCTTTTGGCCACCCAAGAAACCCTCTCTTCTGGGGCTGCCCTATGCCTAAAGTCTCTTGTAGACTCTGACAATTGGCGGTTTGCTTCTAACAAGACAGTGAACCACGTCTGCCAAACGGTTTCTGGTGCATTGGAGAAGCATAGGGAGATAAGCTCTCACATGGAGCTGGTCATGTCCCTGGCCAAGCACAACAGTTTGGTCATTGAAGCCTATGCAAGATTGCTGGTTCAACGTGGATTGCATGTTCTAAGGCAAGAGAATGATCACACACGATTATTAGCAGTTTTGATGATTAGCTGCCTGATGAGGTATCTGGATCCAAGGAGTATGCTGTCTGAGATGGGAATGATTGTTGAAGAACTGAGGGCTCTTCAAGAATCACCAGATGAGACGAGCTGTGTTAGAGTGGTAGCATTTGAAGCATTGCAATTGGGTAAATCGATTTGTTCTGAGAATTTCTGTGAATTTGGTGATGATTCAGCCACCACATCATGGCCAAGTTCTATGAGCACGAACCGGAGACTCTGGAAAAGGCACGAAAATGATGTGGAGGGTTTAATAGCAGAAAATAACAGCTCCCATTTTCTTGGAAAGAAAAAGAACACCGTGCGTTCTAGACGTCGCAGAGAAAACAGGGACAGAAATGTGGAAAGCTCAACATCAGATTCTTCTGCAGAACTTAAAAGCATCAGAAAGGATGAAACGAAACTGCACGGTTCGTATACTCGGAATTACAAGCGCAGAATGATTTGTGTTTTTTTAATTCTTGTCGTTGCGATTCTTGCGTTTTCATTGTGGGGAGAGTGTCAAGGTGGCGTTTATAACCTCGTCCCCACTTAGGGTTTGTGAAACTTTTGTTTGTTCATGAATTGGTTTGGTTATCATAGAATTCGAGAACCATTTACGCTTTTGGAAGATATGAATTTGTTCCAGTGTGATTCTCTACAACTTCAGATCTTTGCATGGCTTTCCAATTACTCCATGAAAAAAATTGCGAACTTTGCTCCAATGTCAAATGAAATTACAAATTTTTGGAAGGAGCCGTGGGATTATTTATTGCTAGAAATGAGCTTCCTGATCTTAATTGAAAATAAATTTGCTCTGCATAGAAAAAATATCAAATGTTTGGTTTGACACAAAAGACCCAACATTTTAGATACGATAGAACGGCTAAGAAAAAAAAAGGGTAACGTGACTTTTATTTTGAGATGTAGGTTTTGTAAATTGTGCAAATTTTCATCCCATAATCATCTAATTTTGAAAAAAATGTTGTTGATTTTGTTTTAAGGATCTGATTTTTAAAAGTAATCAGCCACGTGCTTCTTAAGAAAGGGTTAATTCTGAAACAATTAATTCTAGTAACAAAAATCGGTTCAAAAGATAATTGAAATCAAATGAACCTTTGTTATGATACCATGGAATATAGCTAAATAAGTTTTGTTTGTAAGTACTCCCTTCGTCAAAAATTAATTTTATAACTATATTTCCGGCATTTGAAAGAATTTTGAAAAATGAAAGTTTATGATTAAATTTTTTTTAGGATAAAGAGAAATGACGTGAACCACAATCCATATGTTGAAGGAATAAAGAAAGTTCGAAAATAAAGAAAAAGTAAAGTTTATATTGAGATGATATATATATATATATATATATATATATATATATATATATATATATATATATATATATATATAAAGTATGATCAATTTATTGACTTTGCCACAGACTTTGTGCTAGGTAACGTAAGTATGACACTCCCAAATAAAAGGTCATGAGTTTAAAACCCAGTGAAGATATTGGCTCTTTGTATTTTAGTAGATTGAAAAAATATGTATACATAAATATAAAACTGTAATGGAGTTTATAGTCATTTAAAAAACTTGTTTAACTTGATTTCAACATCATACACTTGCAAATAGTGATTATTGACTTATTCTACTTATTACTAGTTAAATAAACACTCCATAGAAAAACAACTCAATTAGTACCCTAGAGAGTAGGGTCTGGAAATTAAAAAAACACTCCATACTATTTTCGAATTGGGACATATCCAAATAATTTGTAATGTATCAGATCCATAACCTTTTATAACCAAATAATTTGTGTTCAGTTATTTTTTATTAGTCATTTTGTTCATATGTCTTTACTTCCAAATAGAGGTAAGATTCACACACACACACTTTGTCTTCAAACCCACTCCATGAGATACTTACTGGGCTTGTTGGAATATTGAGTGTCCTAGAGAATACCCAATCGAGGATTTCTTTTAATAATGTTGGAACCTTAACATTAAAGGTGTTGGATCCTTAGGACCCTCAATTATAAGTTCCAACATTATTGAAAAAGAAAAGAAAAACTAGCTAATAAGCAAAAAAAATTAAAACAAAAGGGCACCAACCAAATGATCTAGAACACAACTCAAAAACACACTAATTCATTGCAGTCAAAAGATCTTAGCTGTGTATCTTTTCAGAAGTCCTTATTCTAAGCATCCTGTAATCCTTTTGTGACAAAAAGAGAGGCTATAACCCTCCTAGGATCGATATTAGATGCGCATCAAGCGCATAGTAAAGCATGTTTGTTATGTATGGTAATTGTACCCCTACACTGAACTCCTACCTAAGACTAAACTTTAAGCTTCAATGACTACTACTAGTACTGGTAGTAGTTGGTGGTGGTTTGTGCGATTTATCGTGGGAAATCAATACTGCTGCAAACGATCTTTGTCCTTCCCGCCCTTTTGCTTCTCCGTCTAAAACACTCAATCCTCCTTTACCTCTTTCCCCTACAACTTCCTGTGTGGACACTGCCACTCCTGCTGCTTTCACATTTTCATCCTATATCCGAAATATAATAACATCAAAAGTAATAATATTTTTGTCTGTGGAATGGACAAACTGGGTTGGGTTAGTATGCTTGCCTGCTTAGTGGAAGATACGACTTGCTTAGCCTTTCTCTCATGCATCATCTTCTGTCGCGCTTCATAGAACTCGAGATCGTCTAAGATGCATGTTTTACCTGAATGCCCTTTGAATATCTTCAGTATCTGAATTCCTTGCTCAAGCCAGACCTGCACCATCATTGCAAAAAACCATCAATTTCACCCGCCCACAAAAAAAAAACATATGCTTCAAGTGTGGCTTTTTCCTCGCCTAAACATTTAAGGAAACAAACCTCCTGAGTATCTCTGCTGTTAGTTACGGGTTTATTCTCATTGTTTTCTAGTGTGATATGCCTCAACATACTGTTAGGTACATCTTTTACCATATGCCACTTAACAGGGAAGCACCCATTCCACTTGTCTTGTTGCCAATACTCAACAGTCTTATTGTAATCAACAGGGCCAATCATCTCAGCAAGACCAACAAACTGCCCACTTGCATTGACCTGAAACACAACGTTTTAGGAGAAAAATAAAAACCTAGTTACAGTCACCTCTTACTAACAAATGCATGCTCTATCAATAACATACACGTATGTTTGGAACCCAGAAAATGTTTAACAAAGAAAATAGCAAGGAAGACGGGAAATTCAGGTGAAGAGAACAAGCCCTAAAATTTAGGGGAAATAAAAAAAATATTCGAACTTAATGGATCCATGTTTTCTGTTTGTCCAATTGCACTTTTGTTTATATATTTGTATTATATAGAAATATAAATTCATATGAAAATTTCAAAAACTTTTAATCAAATTGGAATTTTCAGTCATATTTACAGAGTTAAAAACCAAACATTAACCAGCAAATGGCAACTTTTCACTTCTTCCCCTACAATTTTCTGCATTCCAAACATAGTTTAACATGAATGGTGCATCATGAGAAACACTTACAGAAAACAGCAAAAAGACAGGACATCCACCAGGCTTCTCTCGAGCGTCTTTGTATGCTTCGTCTAGTTTCTTATTACCATTCGGGGTGCTGGACCATATACCATATTTGACACTTTTGTGCACATCATCTTCACTGTAGGATTTAATGACAAAGAACTTAGCATTTGAGAACGTCTCGGGAAAATCATCATGGTTGAACTGTTCCCTGCTGGGGAAAAGAGTTAAATGATCCTCATCATTGACAGTTTTACCCTTCATATTGTTAAGAGTACGCTCCTTAACTGTTAGAATGATGGACTCAGAGTCCTGATCCTTTGAAACTTTTGTGCGGGGTCCTCTATTCAGCTCACTTAAGCCATTCACGCTTCCACTATTGTCACTGGATAGAACACTGCTCCGACCAAGTGACTTGTGCATGTTATGAGTAGACATCCAATCACGGGAGCCTGACCTAGAACCATAACTTCCTGATCTGAAACCCAAATCTCTTCTAAATGTGTTTCCACGTTGGCCATGCACACTACTATTTGAGTACATCCGATTCAAGTACCCAACACCTAGTCCAGATGCCCCCATTTGATGTTTCAAGCCCTGCAATTGAATAGCAGAGACTACATTTCTAACGTGGTTCCATGTAAGCTATAGGGAGTAAACATTATCTAAATTGATAATCCAACTCACATAAAAAAGGGAAAGAAAAACCCATATTCATAACAACTGAGGACGAACACGTCAATCAAGCTAGCAAAGAATCTAATTACTTGTCATTATGTCAGGTAAAGACCTAGACAATCGGGGACAATTAACAAGTGAGGAGTTATACCTCTGCTGCTAAGAGTAACTTACATGCTCGTACTTTAGAAGTGACAGAAATGTAAAGATACTGATTTAGATTTTTCAAGTTTTTAAAAGAAAATGTGCAATAGTAAATAACATAAATGATTGCACCAAAGCACATCTTATAATACTTTTTTTTTAGTTTTTTATATTAAAAAAAACTTATGGACCTAAGTGCACTAGTTCTGCCAGAAAACGTCTGTCTCAGAACATCGAGTTATAATGAAAACAACTACCACCAAAAAATAACATTCATGAGGCTACCTAGAAAAGAACAGATGCAACAAATTGAAATCTCTACGGTCTAGATATATAGCTCATGCATACTATGTGTAAAGCAGAATATTTTCTCCTGTTTAAAGTATCCATGAAATCATCCTATTCCTAACTATAGAAAATTCCAAGCAGGTCAAAAGTACACAGTATAATCATATATGGAGTATTTAATTTGCCTAATGCCTACCATGCGATGTGGAGGGTGTTGCATAGTTTGGCTTGTTCCTGAATGGAAATTGCTACTCCGTGTACCAGGTGAAGACGTCCAATGGTGTGCTGCAAGAATGGCTAGGAGTCAGATTAAGTAACTAGTTATTTCTGACAACGCACTAAGCCTACTCTTGGTTCCTAGAATTGATAGCAAAGAGAAATACCTGCTGAAACATTTCCCCATTCATAGGTATCTGGTGATTTCAGTGAAGCACCCTGATAACTAGGTCTAATTGGCTTTGAGATGTTAGGTCGATGAATCATGTCACTGAAATTATGACTTTGATTTCCTATAGTTTCCCCAGGCAATAGAATTTGGGAAGAAATAATAGAAGTTGTGACATCTGATTGGACTTCATTTGGCATGTTCCATGAGTGAGTTCCGTTATTAGTTGAAGAAGGCTGAACATGAGTAGTTGGATATTGGTATTGTTGAGGGGCATATTGTTGTTGGCTATCGCGTCCAGTATTTGAGCCGGATGGAGAATATGTTCCATATGGTACATAACCATAACCATGATGATAGTCGCCATACATTGTCTGAAAGCACCCAATAACATATCAGAAGCAATCTTCAAATACAGTAACTTCAAGCACACGTGGATTGTGGTCAAAGATGATTGTGCAGCCTCAAAGAAGATAAAATGTAATTCGTGTACTATCACACTCCACACCCTACTTTGCTAAGTTTCAATTAAGAAATCACAAAAAGGAAATCAGAATACACGCTCAATAGAAAACTATCAACAACCAAGCAAGGAAACAATAACAAAACTTACATGAGGCATTTCAGCAACATCAGGAATTCCATATCTATCACACTCATTGATTGTCGAAACATCATAATCTGCATGACAACCAAAAGTAGGTAATGTAATTCCTAGAAATGTGGTTTCCATTACAAAGTAATTATCAAGTGAACAAGTGATTAACAAAAAGAATACTCCCTAATAGTTATATAAAATAAGAGCAGCAGCAGCGACAACTAGTTTCTTTGATCTTGATGCTTTGAATGAATGAAAACCAGGTTTCATCCTTTCTTCCTAATTAGGCACAAATAAATTGAGGAATAATAGTATATCCTCTAAATTAAGCTCTCATTACACACAATGATGAAACAAAATATTCTACTTCCAAGCTTTAAGTGTGAAGATACAGATAGCAGTTGAGAACTACAGCTTACCTTCATAGTAATATGTTGATGATGGGTGCCCATTCGGGTTGTAGGACGTGCTAGGAACTGTGGAATCCCAATGGAATGGAAATGCCGATCTCTCGAGAGGGTTGCTCTGACCATTTGTTATAGCACCAGAACCAGCAGGAGCATAATTGGCAGAAAATGTCTGTATGTGTGTTGGGTGGGGGTGAGGATGGGGGGTAAATATCAATTTCAGAGTTGAATCCAAGCAATTATTAGAATTGAAGACAGTTTATGGGGCACTTAGACAGAACAAACTTCGGAAGTGCAAGCGGACATGTAGGGGAACTGGGGAAGCAAAAACACATTCTTTTAAAATTCATTTACATGTCAATTTCAGTCCCTAAATGTACGCAACCAAAAAGATAGCACGCCTAAAAAAGATAAAGCCCTTGAAGAAATACCTTCCTAGTGGGCTCCTGAACTTGTAGAGCCTTTTGGTTATCTGAATCCAATGTTAAATTCTGCAGCAACTCCACAGTCGTTCCTGCATTAGCAACACACAAAAATTACAAAAAGACAAAAATGGAATAAATCATCAGATTAGAAAACTCTAGATTTAGAAAGCAACTAAAAGGAGAAAACCCTCCGCCACACAATGCACTAAATAAAGCCATTATTATGCACAAATAGAAAAATCGACCTTGCAGCGCTCAAGGAAACATCGCGTATACATAATATAACACATACGAAACAAGCGCTGTAAAAATACAGACACGAATAGGGATACGTATTCGCAAAATGAAAAATAAGAAGCTAAGCGAAAATAAGTGAGAGAACGAGAGCATACGATCGGATGGTAGCCCAACAGAAGCCATGAAGGAGATCGGTGGCGTAAACCAGCAGCGCTGGCGGCGTGCGTATGAAAAAGTATGCCGGAGAGGGGGAGTAGGCGTCGGTTCGTGGCTTGAAGGTGGTAGCGGCCGCAGGGAGCAGGAGGATAACTGGAGAATCGTGTAGAGAATAAAAGGATAATAAATATATTTTCCATAGATAAATATCAATAAATAAATACTCGGGGAGTCGGGAGTGGGGGCACTTGTTCAAAGCGGATATGCTCTTCTTTATTTAAAAAAACTATTAAAAAATTAAAAAACTAAAAAAGTTGCTACAAGATATCCCTATTTTTTGGTTATTTATGTTTTGGTACACCAAAATATAAGATATCCCATTCCAAGCAAAAATATATACACACACATCTTTCATATTGAATGTTTATATGTCTACTTTTTGTTTGGTGTATACTTGGAATACCTCATTTTTGTATACCCCCTTTTGGTAATGTATGAGAGTGTATTTTCTGTCCAAATTGCTCTTAGAAGTGAAGATTCTGCAATACAACATATATTTAGAAAAAGAAAAAGTTTTGGTGAATAGCACGTACATACTAAGTATGTTACAGACATACATATACAATAATTATCTGTGCATACAGAGATAATTTTTTTTACATATATCTATAACACATTTGGTGTGCAAATGGTGTACATTAAAGTGGTGTACTCTTAGCACAGCCCATTGGCTTCTAGAATTATGGCATTTAGCGCGCTAATTGGACAATTTTTTAACACCTTAGCAGCCATGTCAGCAACAGTATTGGCTAGAAATTTCCTTCTACGTAATTTACGGATGATTCGGCAATTTCATTCTGTGAGATTTTACGGTGGTGATGCTTTATCATTTTGTGAAATATCTTCTGTGCAAGCTTCGACAACTTCAATTCTTTATTTTAATTTACGGTGATTGAAATTTATTTTAAAAAAGAAATGCTACTCAAATTTTTTTTATTAACTAAAAGAAAACGGAAAAATATAAAGTTGATTTTTAAATATCTTTTAAAAAATAAAATTAATAATAATAATACTAAAAATAATCATCATCATCACTGTCATCTTTAAATACGATATGGAGGATGTAAAAAAAGACTAAATTTTTTTATGGAATTTTTTATAAACGTAAACAATATGCAAGTAAATGAGATTTTCTAGATTCTCAAATAACTATAATTTCTCCTAATTCATTCTTACTCTTCCTAATTATGGAGACTAATCATGTTTGGCTTCTTATATCACGGATTAACTTTTTAATAAAATTGATAACAAATCTTTAAATTTATGGTATAGTATTAATTATTATTTATGCCATTACAATTTTAAAATATTCTTAACAAATATTCTTACATCTACCTCAATAATATATAAATATGTGATATTCTTGGTTCCTACTCCCTTGCTTCAATAGCTACAATTTAAGAGTAATGTAATGAAAGATGGTTATTGGAAAAAGAAACGAGAACGCAGAAAAAGAAAAAGAAAGTACTTCAACAAAAAATCACCCAATAAAGGTATTTTGAGATAATTATTTCATTTTATTGGTTCAAAAGAATTGATCTTTTTCATTAAGATTTAGTTCTGTGAAATGAAGATACTTCTTGCATCAATATAAAATTCGTATTGATTTTATAGGAATTCGTTAAATACAAAATATATAGTATCCTAATGCATGTGCGTTTATAACGTATGGAATAACTAAGTTGAATAAAATATATTTGTGACTATAATTTCTTCATGTCATATTCAAATTGTTGATATTCTTTAACTAAATTCCTTAATATACATAATTACTTTATTATTTTATAAATAAGGTGATATATTAAAGTTTAAATAAGAGAGGAAAAGTTTGGCGGAAAAAGAATTTTGTATGATTTTTTGCAACTCATTAAATTGTGTGTACATATTTATTTTATAATTTATAAAATAATGGGGAATGCCATGTGTCATTCCATATAAATATTTTGACTAATATGGAAAATATTCAAACCATGAATGGGGAGAAAATCTCGAAGGTCGCCGCTCGACTTCACGAGAGAGGTGTTTGGGAGTCTGATGGGGAAGCTAATGACATATGATCTAGGACTGCTGATTGAATCAGGGAAGCTGCCCCGGAGGTACTCGCTGTGAGAAGAGGTACTAGGATAGGAGCTGACATCGAGGCGACTAGTGGTGGAGTGATGTGGTCTGATGTATGGTGGAAGCTAAGAAGGTGGCGTATAAAAGGTTTATTGATTGTAGTGATGATAAAGCTAGGGTGTCTCCTAAAATGGAGTATAAGCTTACAAGTAAGGAAGCTAAATTTGATGTTACTAAATTAAAGAACTTAGCTTTTAAACGCCTTCATAAGGTTATTGAGGAGCACTGTTGTGATAAAGGTTATTTCGGCTAGCCAAGGCGCGTGAGAGGAAAGTCCGAGATTTAGAACATGTTCTTTGTGTGAAAGGCATTGATGGTAGGGTTTTGTTTGATGTTGTTGAGGTGTCTCAGCGATGGGGGGAGTGCATCCATAGCCTTATAAACGGTGGAGGAGAACGGAGGCTTAAGCTAGGAGAATTGGCCAGTCTGAGAGGCACAGAGATTTTGGGTACTGTCAGTGCATTAGTCGTGTGGAGGTGGTGAAGGCCATATGCAAGATGAATAAAGAAAGAGCCTTGGGGCCGGATGAGGTCCTTGTGGAGTTTTGGAATATAATGTTGTGGGCAGTAGTGGGTTGATTTCATTAGCCAAGCTCTTTAATGTTATTTTAAGACGTCTAAGATTCCGGACGCGTGGATGGAGAGTGTGGTGTTCCCACTGTATAAAGGTAAGGGTGATATTCAGAGTTGTGATAATTATAGAGGTATTAATCTCCTTAGCCACACCATGAAAGTTTAGGAGCGTATCGTTGAGGCTATGACTTCGAAGAAGGCGTGCCTTTCTGAGAATCAGTTTGGTTTAATGTCTGGTAAGTCGACCACTAAGGAGGCTTGATGGAAGCTTATAGGGCTTAGAAGAAGGACCTCCACGTGGTGTCTATTGATGTGTAGAAGGCATACGGCAAGGTGCCGAGAGAGATCTTGTGGTGGTGTCTTGAGTTTAGAGGGGTTCTGATTGCGTACATTCGTGCAATTAGGAATATGTATGCAAGACCAAGGACTAAGGTGAGGACTATCGGGGTGACTCTAACCCCTTCCCTTTAAAGGTGGGATTACACTAGGGGTCTGCTCTTAACCTTTTTCTTCTTTGCTTTGGTGATGGATGTTTAGTCATAAGATGTTCAAAGTGAAGTTTTGTGGTGCATGCTTTTCGCATATGATATTGTTCTGATCGACAAGACATGAGAGGGACTCAATGACAAGTTGGAGTTGTGGCGTCAGTCCCTAGAGTCCAAAATCTTCAGACTGAGCAGGATAAAGACTAAGTTGTTGGAATGTGGTTTTAGCGGTCGGATGTCAAAATTTGAAGAGGAAGTTATGATTGATGCTCACCAGTTCTAAAGAGAGACAAATTTTGGTATCTTGAATCGATCATTTAAGCAGATGGAGAGATAGACAGGGATTTTTACAACGTTTAGGAGTCGCCTGGGCTAAGTGAAAGCTCGCCTCAGGGGTCCTTTGTAACATGAAGATTTTAGCTAAAATGAAGGGAAAGTTCTATCGGTCGGTAGTCAGGCCGGCTATGCTTTATAGAGCAGAGTGTTGCACGGTGAAGAAAGTTCATGGTGTCAACTGCATGCGGCAGAGATGTGTATGCCACGGTGGATGTGTGGGCAGACAAGTTTGGACAATATATATGTGTGTGCGTGTGCGCGCGCGTGTGTGTATCGCACGTTTGGGGGTTTGAAGAATCCAATTAGGTGTAGGACTATTACTTTCCTTATTCATTACTCCATATGTTGAAATATTATATAAATAAAATCATTTTATTTATTTATTGAAATGTAACGTCTATTTCATTTATAACTTTTTACAAAAAATTCCAAATTTGACAAATTATTCGTCGTTGGTAATCTTTTCACGTGTCCTATCCAAAAACTCGAAATTTGAATATAAATTCATTTATAAAGATAATTTAAAAAATAACTTATTTTAGTACTGAATTTTCCATTGTTATTTTATTAAATCAAAATTAGAATTATGATTTATTAGAAATTCATTATTAACTTTTAGAATATATTTCAAGGCGTTACAATTTGAAAAGAAAATCTTCTAAAAATTGGTCAAATAGGGCAACACTTCTATTTACCCCTTTTGGAGGGGTGCATATGCTTTAAGATTATATTCCACTATTATGGACATATTGTACTCAGAATGGTTGTCTAAATCGAAATGATACTTGCGTGGACACGAAGGTGAAACTCTCTTGGCTGAACTACTAGGTCATTCCATGAAAAAGTTTACTTGGATGAGGCTAAATGTACCTGATTGGAAGAATATTGCCCAATCACGAATATTCTAATCAATATATCTATCTCACACCTCGAGGATGTAGTATTTTCTACTCTTTATTATGAAGTATTACTTGTTTTGACAAAGAATATTTTGTAAGTAGAGAACTACACTTATGCAATTATAGCCAAATTAGCTTTAGTAATACTTTTTGTAGCCAAAATTGATAATCTTTTACCATTAACTAAATAAAATTTATATTAGATATTGATACAGTTGAATAATTTTATTATATTTATCATGTAAAATATTTTTAAAATATTATTTTATCTAGAAGTATATAATGTAATTTTTATTTAATTATAGACCAAAAGCCCACTATGATTGATTACAAAAAATCAAAATTGGAAAAATACCATGGAACAAAGAGAGAATTTATGTAGTTTAATGAATGCAATGGTTCTTTTTAATTGAAGAAGATGAAAGCAAATCTTAACCCGAAATTGTTCGAGCGAAAGTCCTAACTAAGTAAAAAAATGGAAGTCATTCGTGAGGAAGTTCACTCAAGTTGGAGTTCGAGCGAAAGTAGAGGCATTGATTCTTTATGCATCATTAGATTGAGAAAAATATGATCATATATTACATTATAATCGAGTCAAGAACACTAGAAAAGTCCCAAATAAAGAAGTAGACAAAAAAACAACATGCCCAATGACCTGAGATTGTGAGAAAGCAAGAAAGGGAAGAAAAAAAAAAGAAATTTAAGTATGTAGCAAAAGGCTTAGGAACAGAATTTGCCAACTCTTTGGGATGTTTAACTTAAACTCGTCCGATCCAGAGACACAACTCGATCCACCATCAACATGTACGCACTCTAAACTAACCAACCTAATAAAAAAACAGATGAATATTCATATTATTATTCAACATACATAATTATAATAATTATATATGTATCTGGATTAGCCTAGCTGCTGCCTAATTCATATTAGCATTTGCTAGCTCCACTTAGCTTATAATAACACTGATATGGTCGACGATTAATTAATGATAAGAGCCAGGCATGCAGATGATTGATTAACAGGAGGAGTTGGAGGATAAAATTGTGGAGGAAGAAGAGGTGCGGGGAGAAGAAGCGGAGGCGGCCTGCGGCTGTTGTTTGAGGAGGACCACCGGGGGCAGAATGCCGCGGCAAGTGGTTCTCCGGAGGTGTTCCTTGAGCAGTTGAGGGGCGGCGGAGTGGAGGAGCGTTTGGAGATTGGAGGCGGGGGCCAACTTCTTGCCTCGGAACAACACCGTCTCCACGTTCCTCTGCTTCAACATCTCCTCCCCCCGCCCTTGGATCCGTACGTAGCTGCTTCTGCTCCCCCTGCTTGAAAACGCCATTGACACCGCCTGATCCACCTGATCATACCATTTTTTTTGCTTACACGCATGATTTTATTGTGTAATCAATGATTTTTTTGGTCTTAGATTGTTGTATCAATTTAATTACAGTACCTGCTTTACTCCGATTGTTAAATTGATTGTTGTTTTTAATCTCGATCCCCTATAACCAGGCGGCTCGTTCCTAACGCACTCTCTTCAATTGCACTATCCAAATTTTTGTTGACTTTAAAAGTCAAATAAAGTTGAGAAAATTTGGACGGTGTAATTGGATGGGTGCATTAGAGACTGATTGAGCTGGAAAGTTTACCCGAAGAAGGTAGGAACAATCGATTTTACGAGTAGAGAATCGTAAATCTCCCAATTAAATTGGTGTAACAATGTTACATCACCTAACCTTCTCTAATGTAATACACTCTATGATCTCCTTCTTCCCAAAAAAGTTTCACTTTAATAGTAACACAGACAAACCATTTCTTCTTATTATATATGGAGTATAATATCGGGCCCGTTTGGCATCAGCGTTAGAGATTAGCGTTAGCGTTTTGAAAAGGCTATCCAACGGTAGCTTTTAGCGTTAGTGTTTCCAGAATTAATTTACACCATTAAAATTATATCCAAAACGCTAATGCTAATCGAAAACGTTGTTCCCAAACAAGACCATCATTGATATTTGACAAAATAAAATACTTATGTCGCTCTGTATTCTATACTCCATAAATCATTTAATGTAGTTTCTAAGTATATATACAGTAATTTCTTTTTGAAATTTTACGATTAATACTTATTTTTTTACTTAAATCGTTTAAAAATAATTTCAATCAAAATCAAATACGATGCATGAATTAAATCTTTTATGTATAAGTTGACACTACTTCGGAGGGACCCAAATTTGTTACGGAATTACTCTTTCCGTCCCTAAATAAATTTCCCTTTTTGACTTTTTAAGGATTTAAGGGAGGGATATTTTTGTGTTGACTTTCCAAAAATACCCTTGTTGTGATGTGTAAAAGTAAGATGTGATATGTAAATTATTAGTGAAAAGGTATAATGTGATAGGTATGATATAAAAAAGTAAGGGGTAAAAGGAGTTTTTAAAGGAAAAAAAATTATTTGGGGACAAAAAAAACGAAAGGGAAAGTTTATTTAGGGACAGAGGAAGTAAAAGTTAAAAGTAGATTCATATAACATAATTTCATTCCTAATTTGATAGGGACTTAAGAGGAAAATCGTGGCCATTATATTACTCCGTAAATAAGAATAATTCTAATTATCATAGCTGTCCGTACTACAAAAATTTGTTTTTGTTCATTTTTTATATATGGAACAACAATCAACCTGACATTATTGACAATGACATTTTGGAGCATTTTAGATTTTCATTATATAAAAAAAAGGATTTGTGTGTTTTTCATATAAAAAAAATACTATATTCGGTCGACACAGCAAGGATGAAATAATTGAGTGTGCTTTTATTTTGATGCTCTAATGGAGTCAAACAAATGATATGCTTAATTTGACAGGTCGATCTCTTTGATATTACATTAAATAGAACAGTAATTTGAAGGATAAATTTAGAAAAAACGGAGTAATTGGTAGTATCTTCCCAAGGATCGGAGTAATTCTGTAATTATCATTTCCTTTCCTTTCTACTCGTCCCCAGAAGACGGTCATAGTTGGAGTCGTTACACCTTTGATCGCAAATTATAGAAAAAATATATTTCCTCCGTTTACAAATAAACTTCCCGTTGCGTGTTACGATGTTTGACTGAAGTTATTTTCAAATCATTTTATATGAAAAATGGTGTAAAATTTAAAAATAAAAAATTACATATTAAAAAACTACTCCCTCCGTCCACAAATAAACTTTACATTGCGCGTTACGATGTTTGACTGAAATTATTTTCAAATCATTTTATATGAAAAATGGTGTAGAATTGAAAAATAAAAATTACGTAGTACATATTAAAAAACTATATCAAAAAATCTACAAAACTAGAGGCGACATGACTATATTATTTTATCAAATGGGTGACCAAAATAAACCAACAAAGTGAATAAAGTTTGACCCTGTAAATAGTGAACGTAAAGTTTATTTGTGGACGGAGGGAGTATATCAAAAGATCTAAAAAACTAGAGGTGACATGACTATATTATTTTATCAAATGGGTGACGAAAATAGATCAACAAAGTGAATAAAGTTTGACCATGTGAATAGTGAACAAAAAGTTTATTTGTACACGGAAAGAGTATTTAGTTATACTATAAAATTAGTAAAATTAGATTTATTTTAAAATATAGTTTTGAAATATCAATTTTTTATAATATTCAATTATTTTAAAGTATATTTAGTTCGTAGTTAAATAATACCACAATTTCATAAAAAAATGAAATTGTGAAAATCTTTTAGGGACGTAAAGTATATGTTTGGAAGATGAGGAGAAGACAACAATTACAAGATTTAAAATACCACAAACATCTTTACCAATTAGATGTTGAATGTTGATACTTTAATTTGGGGTATATTTGTCATTTCACAATTTTTGTTTCTCCTACTCTTGGTAAAGAGTTGTCCTTAAAAGTATTTAAAGCTTCTTTGGTTACTTTAAAATGATTGATATGATATTGCTTTGAAATTAAAAAAAAATACGAGTAAAAGATTTGAAATATGATTTTTTATAATAAACAGGGTGACAATAGGATATGGAGTATTTAAAAGATTTGAAATATGCTTTTTAATAAAATTATTTGGACACATCAAATAAAAATTTTATTTACGGAGCATATTTTTTCAGACAATCTTCATTATGTTTTGTAATTACTACTTGGTATAATTTAAGTTAATGCGTTATTACTCACTTTTTTATAGCTCATTATCCTAAAAAAATGTTCCTATTTACTACTTCTAGTTTCTGATATCTTAATTTTATGTTATTTTTTCATTTGTCCTTTGTTGAATTAAAATATTTTTGTTATTATTTGTTTTTTAAAAACTTTTATACTGTTTAAATATATATTGTACAAGTACTTCTTACTTTAGTATTAATTTATTAATAAAATTGAATTAAAATAAATAAAGATTTTGCACATTGTTTTTTTGGAGTAGTAACTTTTTTTAATTGAATAACTACGAGATGTTTACTAGGGGAAAGGAACGTACCATGTCGGCAGCTCCACATCCGACAATTTTAACGAGCGACGCCGACGAAGGCGTGAGGTCACCGTCGCCGGAGTCCGGTTCTCCGTTTCCCAATGACACGACCAACAGATCCTCCACGCCGGCGGAGAACGGAAACTCCTGCTTGTTGTTGAGGACGTGAGTGATGGCCGCCGCGGCAGGGTTGCTCATGGCCACGCCGCCGCCCACGGCGGAGGTCCTCGTTCTCCCGTCTACCGACTTTATCTCGAATGGTCGGTTAGCTAGGGTGGCCCCGCAAACGTCGGCCATCGGGAAATCGCAGGCGTCCATCTCAAGCGCGTCGGCGCGTGAGAACACGAACGGGGCTCCCGTCGTGAGATCGAAACAGGGGATGAGAACGGATTTCAGAGTGTCCTTCAGAGTCGCCTCCCCGAACACCTTCTTGAGCAGCTTCGAAGTCCGGGAACGTCGCCGGAAAACCCCACTCTTCTCCGGCCTCGAAAACCTGCCGCCGTTTTCCAGGACGAAACAGAGCGCTTCTCCGGCAGTGAACAACGGGGACCCGTCTTTCCCGCGCGTGAAGAGAAGGCCGGCGAGAACGCCGCCGACGCCGGAGCCAGCAACGACGTCGAAGAAATCGGCAATGCGGGCACCGGGGTTACCGGACTCGGCGCGAAGGGCAGCTTCGAGGCAGGCCAGAGATCTGGCGGCGAGGACGCCGTCGGTTGAGCCGCCGGCGTCAATGGAGAGGATCCGAACCTTCCCCGGCGACGAAGCGGCGGTGGGGGTTCCGTCAGAGCAGCGGCCGAAGAGGAACTTGTTCTCAAGGATGGAGAAAATGTGATTGGTGAGGTGGTCGGATTCCATGGTGGAGACTGCCGCCATTTCAGACAACTCTTATATTGATAACTAATTAAAGAAGAATGGGAAAAATGAATCGAGTTTTGAATGAGGGAGAGAAAGGGGCAATGATGGGTGGGTATATATAGATGGGGAAAGGCATAGAACGTGCGGGCTGAATTGTACTCCGTATATAATTACTGCAAGTTAAGTGTGGACTGTGGAGATATATTATAGAGAAGAAGATGAGAGAGTAAAAAAGAAAGTAAGAGAGTAAGTTAATTACGGCCCCAAAGGAACATTCCTCAGGAAGCCAGCAATGCAATGGGGGGTTCCATCTCAAGATGTTGGCACTAATTAATCAACCCGTGTTTTATGTACGGAGTGCCCCATTTACAAAGGGGTAAGACACTAAAAGCACTCCAAATACCCCTCAAGTCATCAGGTTTCAAATCGGAGCTTCAAAATTTTTCTTTCTACCACGTTATCTTTAACTTACCTCACAGATTCAATGGAAATGGGTTTCAAACCTTCATTTTTTTACATTTTTAAATATACATCTTTTAAAACTAAATTAATAAAATTTAATTATTTTATTATTTAATTATATTGAAGCATGAATAATAAAAAAATACATTCATTAAATTAAAAAAAGAAAGTGACAATAATAAAAAAGATACATTAATAAAAAAACTAAGGTAAATTATATTTGGCCTTGATCTTTTTTTGTCTTCTCTCGAAGATCATCCGTTTGAAGCCCGATAACGTAGAAAGGTCGGTTTCCATGATTTTTTTCTCGTCCTTCTCCTCCTTTCACTTCATCCTCTCTTCTTCTCGAATATTGAACAGCCGAAGTTGTTCAACCATTGCCTGACCGATATCGTCGCGAGAAGAAACGGAAACAGAGCCGAACCTTCAAGAACCCGAGGCAATGGATTTTGCCTTCTTTCTTCCGATCGGCTGTTGAATGGGGTCCTCGTCATCGGAATCCGCAACGTTGAAGGGAGGAAGTTGTTATGACGAACCGATGGTGTCGTCGACCTCAACCTCGGCGTCGATGGAGGATCTTTTCTTTGACGATCCACCGTCAGGATTGTTGAGTTGTTGCAACTTTAGGGAACGGCTCAAAATCCTCCAAAGATCGATGTGCACCTTGCCTTGGTGCCCATCATCTTGATACCGGGTCGTGGCAAGCCGAAGAACATTGGCATCGTTCGTCCCGCTCCTCCGGGACCGGGTGCATTCCTTGTAAACTCCGATAAACTTTTAAACTTTACGGTTGATGTGGCTCCATTTGGAAGTGAGTTGATACCGGGTACGGTAGGAGCCGTCCTTGTTCATCGCCGTGAGGAACTTCTTTCGATACGAACCCACATCGCATCCTTCGTTTGCTCCAACCCTTTAAAAAAGTATAACACCAAATTTTTTTATGACACGATTATATACAATTTTATATAAAAAAACATAAATATATTAGAAAACATATAATTTTTACCAACGATAGGATGCTCGGAGACATCAACCCAATCCGACGCCAATAAGCATTCTTCCTCCAGCGTCCACTTTTGGATTGACCATGCTGCCTCAGTCATCGTGCCTTTCGCTTTGTGGCTCTTCCGGCGTGCACTTTTTTTTGGTGCTGGATGGTCCCGGTTGAGTCTCTGGAACCGAATCTCGCTCGACGTACCCCGATTGTTGCGTCTTGAACATCGGCGGATGATTCCCGTATTGTTGGAAATACCACATCGCGGACTCGTGAGGCTCGAGATCGTCGGGGAAGAAGCCGGAGCCGGAAGGATTCATGTTCAAAAGAGAGTTGGAGAATTGAAGATGTGAGAATGGGAGGGGGAGGAGTTTGAAATTTATAAAAAATAATTAAATTTTTATTTTTTGGTTTCAACGGCTATAATAGCCGTTAAGGGGGGATTACAGCGTCATTGGTTTACACCTTAAGAGGGGGTGAATTAGGGTGTTTGAAAGTTTTTCGTAAAAATCAAAAACATATGCACAAAGTAATAGCGGAAAAGGAGCAAGAAAAGTATAAAAATTAAAAGTACGACACAAGCGATTTTATACTAGTTCGGGAACTCCCTACTCCAGTACCTCGAGGCTACTCCCCAAGGATTTAACCTCCACTAACTTGTTTGGCTTCACTAAGAAGACTCAAACGAGATTTTACTACAGCTATCTCAACCGTTTACAACTGATGATTTTAAGGCTATATTCAACGTTACAATGAGGATTTAAAGGCTATCCACACATTTTACAAATCAATAAAGGATTGAAGTTGCTTCTCTACCAAAATGATAACAAAAATGAATTGGGTAGGAGAAGAACAAAAATTAAATCAACAACAACAAAAACCTATATGCAAGATATAAAATAATGAATCACAAATGCCCTTGTGTGAGTGTATAAAAATAATGAAATCTTTATACTCAAAAGAGTAAGAAAAATAAGAACAAAGCGTCAAGAGACACTCAAGAATAGAGAAAGAGGCTTTAGATATGATTGGGAAGTTGTTGTGTTAAAAATGAGACTTACGGGAGGGGTTATATTGGAGTTTGGAAGGTTAAAATATGAGTTTTTAACTTTAAATGCCATTAGGGAGTGATTTGGGGTGATTTGAATTTAAATTGGCAATTTGCTACAGTGATAACAACGGATACGGTACTCTTCACGGTAGGGTCAGTACCGTCCGGTACTTAGGTACCGTGACCACGGTACAGCCTACCGCTAGGGGTACCGTGTAAGCCTAAAACTTGGTTCGGCTCTGTCGGTACCTGGGCTCAAACGGTCTGGCCAACCGTCCCAAGCCTACCGGCGGTACCCAGGTACCGTTACCACGATAGGGGGTACCGTGTACCACCTAGGTGAAACGTACCGCGGTCTGTTCACTTTGCTACCGGCGATACCGTGGTGCCGTGTACACGGTAGCCAGGTACCGTTAGACCTGTGAGTTTTTCCAAAACTCGTTTTTTATGTTTCGTTTTCAAAATAACCCCAACTAAGAATATATTTGACATTTTAGAAATAATTTTTAAGTGAAAGGGCATAAGTAAATCATTAAAATATATCGTTAGCTTTACACAAATTTTTAAACTCGTAAGAGTACATCTTGGTGATGCTAATCAAGCTAACAGAGGTTTGGTGTTTGGTTTCTTCCTGCGTAGCATTGGAAGACTTATTTGGCACATCAAAACGGTTACGGGGTACGGCATTCAAGGCCAACAATCTCCCCATTTTTTATGTTGACAAATAAGGCTTTCGAATATAACAAGCAAACGCACAAACATATCGTGAAAAGCATATTTCGATTTTAAAACTCCCCCTAAGTTGATGCACGTGAGATTTTTGACAAAACTCCCCCTAAATGTATGCATATGAAAGCCTAATATTTCTCCCCTTTTGGCAACATTCAAAAAGGCGGGGTACGAAATGTGTAAGTTTCAACACATAGGCACTCGCCAAGGCAACTTTATAAGCATTCAAGTAAACCATAAGAATCCATAAGCATTCAAACCATAAGAGTAATCATAACAAAGGGGTTTGCAATCATAAAAGTGCATAAATACGAGTTTGAAACATAAGACATGACAAAGAGTATTGAAACTTAGACAAAATACATAATTGTTTTTAAAACATAAATAAGATAATGTTTGATCATTTTGTCAAATGCTCAACACTTAGCAACGTCTAGAAGCACGATCCTCTTGTTGCTTTCGGCGTGCCTCACGATCCTCCATTTTCTTCATGCGATNTAATCATAACAAAGGGGTTTGCAATCATAAAAGTGCATAAATACGAGTTTGAAACATAAGACATGACAAAGAGTATTGAAACTTAGACAAAATACATAATTGTTTTTAAAACATAAATAAGATAATGTTTGATCATTTTGTCAAATGCTCAACACTTAGCAACGTCTAGAAGCACGATCCTCTTGTTGCTTTCGGCGTGCCTCACGATCCTCCATTTTCTTCATGCGATCTGAGAGGTCATCAAGACTCTCTTGAAGTTTCCTCATTGGAGCCACCACAGTCTTGAGGATGAACTTCTTGAAAGGATTTTTGGAAGTGGGGGCCATGTGCAAGTGATGATGCAAGAGAGAGGTCGAGGAAGTATGAGACGCCGAATTTGATCGTTTGACCCAAGGAGCACGAACGGGAACCTCCGTGGTTTCATTTGCTTCGGCATCGGGTGCTTGAGAAGTGGAAGGCAAGGATGACATAGATCATCGAGGGCCATACTCCGCTTGTGTTGCCTCATCAAGATTTTGGAATTCCTTCTTCATGTAGTATTTCTCTCCGATCTTCACGAGGCCACAATAACCAAGGCACTCCGTGTCAAGAAAGCAAACATGGGAAGGTCGCACCTCAAGAATGCCTCGTTTGGCAAAGAAGTGGGTGAGAAGCATGTCATAGGGTTTGTTTTGGCGGCCAGAGCACTCGTACATGTGTTGAATTATGATGGAAAGGAGATTGATTTTCTTGTGAGTGTGGAGGAGGTAAAGGAGAGTGCATTCATAAATCCCGACTTGTTTATCCTTGTTAAGGACGGAAATGACATTTTCCTTGAGGATTTTGAGAAGAATGAACTTATTTGCGGTCAAGTCTTGGACGTTGGGCCGACGAAGGAAATAGTCCAGATCCTCAAAGACATGGTCAAGAACAATATTGTTGAGAACACGAAGGCAAAAATCCGAGTTGAAGTCTTGGGAGTCGGAAATCCACCACTTTTTGCAATAGAAGGAGACTCCTTGACGCTCAAGGTGGAACCTTTCAGAAAGGTTTTGGGTATTGAATCCGAAGGTTTTGCCGGCAACAATGGCGGTAAATGAGGGGTCTTGCTGATGATATTTCATTGAGGAATAAAATTGATGAACGAGGTCTGGGTACACGGGGGCTTGGAGTTGTAGAAAGAAACTCCAACCTTGTTCATGAATTAGTTCAAGAACAGGGACGGGGATGTCATCTTGCTTAAGAGTTCCCCCTTAATGATATGTGGGTCGGCGTAAGCCTTGAACCCGGCTTGAACATCGGGTTGAGCATCGGTTTGAACATCGAATACAATTTCACTCATATTTGGATATATTGAGAAAATTGGTAATTTTGGACGAAAATGGGAAAATTGATACCAAATGCACGAATTGAAGAGAGTATATGATGAATTTTATGAATTGAAGGTAATAGATGATGAAATTGATGAAATACCTTGATCGAAGTATGGGATAGAGAGACAGGAAGGAGTCACCGGAATGAGATGCAGAGATCGAGTTGGAGAAATGGTCCGATTTTAGGGTTTTAAAGAATTTTGACCCGAAGTGACGGTCGGTACCTTGGTACCATGCTAACAGTACCTTGGTACCGTACTTACGGTATAGGCTACCGTTACAAACTACCGTGAAGGGTCCAAAATCCAATCTCCTCTGGTGGTATCTGCGTCCAAACGGCACTTGGGTATCGTCTAAACGGTATGCCCTACCGTGAAGGCAGTACTTGGTACTGCCAAGGGTACAGTGCCCTAGCCTTAATTTTTTGTTTCGACCTATAGATGCGTGTTTTGAGGATTTTGACTTGATCAATTTATTTTTATGTTGTAATGAGATAATAAGAACCTTAAATTCACTTTAATTCAATCTTTCCTATTTCCCGACAAATATGTAAAAATTGTTTTTCATCCAAGGGTTTTGTAAAAATGTCGGCACATTGTTCTAGTGTATTTACATATTCAATTTGAATATCTTTCTTTGCAATATGATCACGTATGAAATGATGTCTTATTTCTATATTTTTAGTCCTAGAATGCAACACGAGATTTTTGGAAATATTTATTGCACTTGAATTATCACAAAAGATAGGCACTTTTGAAAATTTTAAGTTAAAGTCACCAAATGTTTGCATCATCCCTAAAATTTGAGCAACACAACTACCCAGAGCCACATATTCCGCTGCAGCGGTGGATAGGGCGACGGAGTGTTGTTTCTTAGGCGTCCAAGACACTAGTGCATGGCCTATGAATTAACATGTGCCACTTGTGCTTTTCCGATCAATGCGACACCCTCCAAAGTCTGCAGCACTAAAACCTATCAAGCTTAAATTCGTATTCTTGGGATACCATAAACCCATATTGGTTGTTCCCTTAACATATCGAATTATTTGTTTGACAGCGTTTAGATGTGATTCTTTGGGTGATGATTGGAAACGTGCACAAAGACAAACGAAAAACATTATATCGGGCCTAGATGCAGTCAAATAAAGTAAACTACCAATCATACCTTGATATACCTTTTCGTTTACAGGTTTTCCACTTTCGTCATTGTCAAGCTTTAAAGATTTGCTCATTGGAGTTGGATATGTTTTTGAGTCTTCAAGGTTGAACTTCTTGACTAATTCTTTGGCATACTTGGTTTGGCTAATAAAAATGCCATCTTAAAGTTGCTTAATTTGAAGTCTAAGGAAGAAGTTCAACTCACCCATCATACTCATTTCAAATTCGCTTGTCATAATTCCTGAAAATTCATTACATAAGGCTTCATTAGTTGACCCAAAAATAATATCATCAATATAAACTTGCACAATGATAAGATCTTTTCCTTTTGTTTTGACAAAAAAGTGCGGAATCAATCTTTCCTTTTGCAAATCCATGTGAGATGAGATGTTCGGTAAGCTGCTCATACCAAGCTCTAGGAGCTTGTTTGAGTCCACAAAGAGCCTTATGAAGTTTGAAAACATGATTTGGAAAATTAGGATTTTCAAAACCAGGAGGTTGTTCAACATAAACTTCTTCTTTCAACCATCCATTTAGAAAAACACTTTTTACATCCATTTGAAAGAGTTTGAAATTAAGAGCACTTGCAAAAGCTAATAACATACGAATAGATTCAAGCCTAGCACCTAGAGCAAAAGTTTCATCATAGTCAAGTCCTTCAACTTGGCTATAGCCTTTAGCAACAAGTCGACTTTTATTTGTGATAATAACACCATTTTCAGCAAGCTTGTTTCTAAAAACCCATTTGGTGCCCAGAACGGGTCGGTTTTCCGGTCTTTCGACTAGTTCCCAAACCTTGTTGCATTCAAATTGCTCAAGCTCTAGTTGCATGCATATGATCCAATCACTATCTTTTAGTGCATCTTCTATGTTCCTAGGTTCAAATTGACTAACGAACGCATAGTGTGTACAAAGATTGTAATTATTCCTAGTTCTAACTCCCTTTTCAGTATCTCTAATGATATTGTCTCTTGGATGATTCTTCAAGTGTTTGTAAGCCTTTGGTAGTTTTTTCTTTTCACTTTCTACTTCTTGTGCAGGAATTTCCAGGATTTCTTCTTCCTCTTCTTCTTCATTTGAACCTGCAATTACCTTACTCGACCCAAAGGGATGAGTTTCATCAAATTTCACTTGCATAGATTCTTCTACTTTATGATTTGATTTATTATATACTCTATAAGCTCTACTATTTGTTGAATAACCAAGAAAAATTCATTCATTTGATTTAGGTTCAAATTTACCTAAATGATCCTTGATATTCAAAATATAGCATTTACACCCAAAAACTTTGAAATAGGCAATGTTTGGTTTTCCACCCTTCCAAAGTTCATAAGAAGTCTTTTTAATAATAGGTCTAAGTAATACCCGGTTAAGAACGTAGCATGTCGTGTTGACTGCTTCTCCCCAAAAATATTGAGATAAGTTATGTTCATTCAACATGGTTCTTGACATTTCTTGCAACGTCCTATTCTTTCTTTCAACGACTCCATTTTGTTGAGGCGTTCTAGGAGACGAAAAGTTGTGAGAAATACCGTGTTCATCACAATATGTCTCATTTTTGGTAGCCCAACAACAAGTTCTTTTGAGTAAAGTTTTCCCAAAAGATCATAACTAACATGTCCTAGTCTACGATGCCCTAATGTTGAAAATTCAAACGAAATAGTAAGACAAGTGATTTTTGAGTTGATCAAGTCATTGGAATTGAACTTTTATAAGTTTCCATCTCTTTTAGCCTAAAAATGATTTCATCTTTATTTTGGCCATATAATTTTGTGGCCATTGTCACAAAGTTGGCTTATGTTAATTACATTGAATTTTAGGCCATCAACAAAATAAACATCATTTATTAAAAAATCACTTGAAATACCTGTCGTACCTTTACCGATGACTTTCTTCCGGGATTTGTCTCCAAGGGTCACGTGTTCATGACTTTTCTCCTTGAGGTGTGTGAACCATCCTCTTGTTTCGGTCATGTGCCTTGAGCATCAACTATCCACAACCCAAGTGGTGTTTTTCACCTAGTCAAAGAGGAGTTTGCTTTTGACTTAGGTTTGGGGTTCCAATCGATGAATACCCTATGTCGATATATGAGTTTCGTCTTGGTTGGTTCCAGAAGTGGTATATGAACTTTTCGTTTTTCATCATAATAAAAGAAATAGTATCCACCATCATTTCTTTATTTTCCTACAAAAAGAGTTTCTTTTGATATCCAATTTTCTTGGATTTTGACCGGTTAGAACCCTTCTTGACCCATTTTAATTTATGCATTTCAACTAACCATTTGTTTGGACACTTTGTCACAATATGGTTAACTTGCTTGCAATAGTGGCAAGCATTTACTTTTGATTTAGAAGTTGAGGCTTGGTTTGATGGGTTAGTTTTTGAGGTATTAAAATGGTTTTTAGCCATGTTCATCAAGTTTGTGGATTGACCATAACCAATATCTTCTTTCGTTAGTTTTGGTTGGTCATCCCACATCTTCATTGAGCTATAGCTATCACAAAACATTTCCAAAGCCCCTCGCTTGGCCTTGTCTTTTTCTTTGATTAAAATTTCAATTTTCTTTTGAAATTCTTCATTTTGGTTTTTAAGCTTCCCAAGATTATGTTTTAAAATTTTGTTTTCATCTCGGGAAATTTCAAGAGACACTTTGAGTTCCTTTTTCTCCCTAATGGTTCGAAAAAGGTCCTCTCGGCATTCATCAAACGTTTGCCTTAACTCATCAAAAGTAACTTGACTTTCAAAAGAAGTAAATGAGTTTTGGGAACTAACCTCTTCTTCATCGTTTGAGGCCATGAAGCAAGCATTTGCGTTTTCTTCTTGGATTTGGTCACTATCACTTTCGTCCGAGTTTAAATCGTCCCAAGTGACTTTTAAAGCCTTCTTCTTCCCCTTTTAAGTTCTTCCTTCTTTTTGAGCTTTGGGCACTCCGGTTTGATGTGTCCTACATTTCCACATTCATAACAAGTTATTTGATTAGATTTACCTTTCTTTGGTGGAAATCTCTTTGAGGATTCGCCCTTGTTCCATTTCATAAATTTTTTGTATCTCTTAAACATGGAAAGTTCATCATCACTTTCTCCTTCGCTCTCTAGGTGATCATCGATTTTGATCGCCATGGTCTTCTTGATGATAGAAACATGTTCTTCTTCCTTCATTTTCCTTAAAAGAAGCTCGTGAGAGTATAGGCTGCTCCAAATGGTGGAGGTTTCAACATTCGCACATTTGGGAAACAAATTTACAACAAGACTATGCCATTCTCTAGGGAAACAGAATATAATCTAGGTTTTAATCTCACTAGTAGGATAAACTTTATTTAGCTTACTCAAATTGTTGAAAATGAGGTTGAATCGTTTGCTAATAGAGGTTTGGTGTTTGGTTTCTTCCAGCATAGCATTGGAAGACTTATTTGGCACATCAAAACGGTTACGGGGTACGACATTCAAGGCCAACAATCTCCCCCTTTTTTATGTTGACAAATAAGGCTTTCGAATATAACAAGCAAACGCACAAACATATCGTGAAAAGCATATTTCGATTTTAAAACTCTCCCTAAGTTGATGCACGTGAGATTTTTGACAAAACTCCCCCTAAATGTATGCATATGAAAGCCTAATATTTTTCCCCTTTTGGCAACATTCAAAAAGGCGGGGTACGAAATGTGTAAGTTTCAACACATAGGCATTCCCCAAGGCAACTTTATAAGCATTCAAGTAAACCATAAGAATCCATAAGCATTCAAACCATAAGCGTAATCATAACAAAGGGGTTTGCAATCATAAAAGTGCATAAATACGAGTTTGAAACATAAGACATGACAAAGAGTATTGAAACTTAGACAAAATACATAATTGTTTTTAAAACATAAATAAGATAATGTTTGATCATTTTGTCAAATGCTCAACACTTAGCAACGTCTAGAAGCACGATCCTCTTGTTGCTTTCGGCGTGCCTCACGATCCTCCATTTTCTTCATGCGATCCGAGAGGTCATCAAGACTCTCTTGAAGTTTCCTCATTGGAGCCACCACAGTCTTGAGGATGAACTTCTTGAAGGGATTTTTGGAAGTGGGGGCCATGTGGGAGTGACGATGCAAGAGAGGTCGAGGAAGTATGAGACGCCGACTTTGATCGTTTGACCCAAGGAGCACGAACGGGAACCTCCGTGGTTTCATTTGCTTCGGCATCGGGTGCTTGAGAAGTGGAAGGCAAGGATGACATAGATCATCGAGGGCCATACTCCGCTTGTGCTGCCTCATCAAGCTTTTGAAATTCCTTCTTCATGTAGTATTCCTCTCCGATCTTCACGAGGCCACAATAACCAAGGCACTCCGTGTCAAGAAAGCGAACACGGGAAGGCCGCACCTCAAGAATGCCTCGTTTGGCAAAGATGTGGGTGAGAAGCATGCCATATGGTTTGTTGTGGCGGCCAAAGCACTCGTACATTTGTTGAATTATGATGGAAAGGAGATTTAATTTCTTATGAGTGAGGAGGAGGTAAAGGAGAGTGCAGTCATAAATCCCGACTTGTTTATCCTTGTTAAGGACGGGAATGATATTTTCCTTGAGGATTTTGAGAAGAATGAATTTATTTGCGGTCAAGTCTTGGACGTTGGGCCGACGAAAGAAATAGTCCAAATCCTCAAAGACATGGTCAAGAGCAATATTGTTGAGAACACGAAGGCAAAAATCCGAGTTGAAGTCTTGGGAGTCGGAAATGCACCCCTTTTTGCAATAGAAGGAGACTCCTTGACGCTCAAGGTGGAACCTTTCGGAAAGGTTTTGGGTGTTGAATCCGAAGGTTTTGCCGGCAACAACGGTGGTAAATGAGGGGTCTTGCTGATGATATTTTATTGAGGAATAAAATTGATTAACGAGGTCTGGGTACACGGGGGCTTGGAGTCGAAGAAAGAAACTCTAACCTTGTTCATGAATTAGTTCAAGAACGGCGACGGGGATGTCATCTTGCTTAAGAGTTCCCCCTTAATGATATGTGGGTCGGCGTAAGCATTGAACCCGGCTTGAACATCAGGTTGAGCATCGGTTTGAGTGAAAGGGCATAAGTAAATCATTAAATGATATCGTTACCTTTACACAAATTTTTAAACTCGTAGGAGTACATCTCGGTGATGCTAATAAAGCTAATAGAGGTTTTGCGTTTGGTTTCTTCTTGCAATTTGATGATGTTAGTAGCATTGGAAGACTTATTTGTCACATCAAAACGGTTACGGGGTATGGCATTCAAGGACAACATGTGTGTGTGTGTGTGTATAATTACATGGCCTAAACTGAAACCTTTAACCTTATGAATTGTTTTTATATTATTATTGTTGTTTTAATGGGGTTGAATGCACCCTTAGTTAAATACTCCATAAATGAGTGGGTTGAATTGATTTTCCAATAATGAAAGTATTTGTCAAGATGCGTCAATAATTGTGTGGCTATACATTTGAACATTTGGATGCTTAAGTGACATTTTATTATCTCGTACAACAAATGCATGTCTCAAAAACAAAAGGGGAAAACGATTTTCTTTTGAAAAAAAAGTTAAATTTGAGAACATCCAAATGATTTATTTAAATGATCATACTATGGTTAACCAAACAGCAAGTGGACAAAGTAAAATTTTAAAATTTTTTTAATGACGTACCTTGACCATGGATTGTCACGTTTTACCAAGTGGGTCAAACCACATTTTATAAGGCCGGATCGTATATGTCCAAGTGGATTAGCCTACAAATAATCATACCAAAACGTGCGCACGAGAACCAAATGATGACCCCGTGCGTCTAGGGTTCACTTCTGATTACTAGACTCGAGGTCACGGGGAGGTATCCAAAGTAAAACTATGAATCGACTAGTGCGGTGTTCCAGCCTAGTCACGTCTCTAGAAGGAAAAAGTCTAGTATTTTCTAAATATCCCCAAGTAATAATTTTATTTCTGCTTTTACTTTATAGGTATTTTAAATAAGATAATATCAATATAAGCAATGTAATAATAATATTAAAAAAGATATGTTCCTTTTCATGATTATAGTGTATAAAAAAATTTCATCTTTAAAAAAATTGAAAGCGTTGCCTTGAACAAAAAATTAAGTTGAAACACAAATTTTGAAATGGTAAGTAACACCAATAGTGTAATTTGGTTGAAAATTTACATTGTAATTTTAGAAATAAAAATTCTGAAAAATGAAAATAGAATAAGCAAAAAACTTTTCATAGTATAAACGTAACCATTAGCAAAGACTTTCGTAATTAGTTTCTTTCGAGTGCATTTTCAAACTCGTGCGGTTTCAAAATCGTCATTCGAACTAAGCATGGAGATGTTAACCGCTGTAAAAAATATTAATGAGAGGTCATTGTTTTTTATGTTAAAAATGAGAGCAATAAGAGTTTATCAAGTTACCGCTCATGCTAGGGGACTGGAATCATTAGATGTTATTTTTCACGACTCTGAGGTTAGTTCTTTCATTAATAAGAATCTTAAATGTGTATACATTAATCCTTGTAGTTATCTAGAAGCCACATGGATGAAGAAGTGGTTATTCCAAGATTAGCATTGACACCATCCGATACAAGATCCACATTCAAGTTTCAAAGAAGACAATTCTCTGTGGTTATTTCGTATGAAATGATGATTCACAAAAGTCGGGGATAATCACTGAAACATGTTGGATTTTTGTTACAGAAATCGGTATTTAGTCATGTACAATCGTATGTTACAGTTTCAAGAATAACAAATCATAGGTATATAGTCATGGATTATTGTTCACTGTTATCCCCGTCCGGAAATGTTCTTCTCATTTAACTTTTCTTGGTCAAAGTTTGTAATTTTTGACTACGATTTGTAGAAAAAACATATTATATTATGATATAAATTTAATATCAATATATTTTTAATGAAACGTATAATTTTCAAATATCAATTTTTTATAAAATATATCTATTTATAAATTTAGATATTAATGGTCAAAGTGTAATATTGGAGACCATGAAAACTCAAATGGGAAGAGTATTTTCGGATGGATGGAGTACTATGTTAAACTTTATTTATTTATTTCTATATTTTTGCTAGTGATTTGATAAAATAATATAGTCAAATTTTATTTTGTAGAGCTTTTGATGTAATTTTTAATCCTATCCTAATATCCAAATAAATTCATTAAATTGTACTACCTCCGCCGCTGAGTATTTGTCCAGTTTTGATATAATAAATCTAATAAAAAAATTTGTACCAATATCTAATATCATTTTTATTTATTTTGAGGTTATAATCTACTAATTTTAATCAAAAATAAAAATGGACAAATACTCAAAGACGAAGGGAATATTATAATTAACTTAAACCAAAATTCAGAAAACGAAGCAAACAATTTAAATAAGAGACAGATGAGTAATATTCTATTCTTATTTTTAGAGGGATGCCAAGGGTACACCAAAAGTGTACCCCAAATGCACACCACCCTCTTCATTACCATTCATTTTTATTTATTTATTTATTTTATTTTACATGCCAAAATCCTTTATATATAATATTTGAGAGTTGAACTCTCAGAATTGCGACATTTGGAGTGCTGACTGAATCTTTTTTTGACACTTCATCAGCCACGTCATCAAAATCAACTTCCTCAATATTCCAAACGGGTTGGGCTTCTAAAATTGTGACATGTGGCGTGCTTATTAGACAATTTTTTAACATATCAGCATGTCATGTTAGCAAGTAATGTTTAAAAAATAATTAACAAAAAAACTTATTATGCGGAAATTAAATTTCATATTTGTTACATATAAATTTCTCCATATAATCGCGTTTAAAAACTTTTATATTTTCATTCATTATTGGAAAATATTTAAATTAAATAGTATAGTTTGAAATTTGAAAAAACCACCTATTCAAAAACTATAATCAAAACAAATAAATTTACTTTAAGAACAGATAGATTGGTAGGACTAAACAAAATTACATTTGATTTTTTTGCTTTGAATTAATAGTATTTGGAGAGATTTTATAATTATTTAAAAAAAGAAACAAATATATAAAAGGAAATAGATTTTTATGGGCATGCTTATTTAATAGAGCATTAATTTTATTCCGTATATATAAAAAATTCTAAATCAAATAAAAAGTATGTTCCATTTTAAAATTTGTATTTTCCATTTTAAAATTGTTGTTTTCCATATATAGCTTTGTAAAAATTTACATGTAACAAAAATTATCATTTCCATTTATAACTTTGTAAAATGATCAAGACTTGATACATGTAACAAAATTAATTTCCATTTATAACTTTGTAAAATGATCAAGACTACAAATTTATTGCATAAAAGAAAAAGTTTAATTGTCTCTTCTAAGGAAAACCATCTAATTTGCTCTATAATTTATTTTATGGTCTTGGTGTGAAGAGTTTCATTACCATGAAAAACTTAAATAAATACAACTGTATGTTTTCATTAACATTTATAAATGGAAATATTGATACATCTCACAATAATGGTTGAGCAATAATGTACTCTCAGCGAACACATTCATCATCACATACCATGTTTAATGTCACAATATGGTGAAAGACTAAAATTTACACAATTGTATATTTATGGTATACAGAACGAGATATGAAAACAAATAACTCTTTTTAGGTATCTCGAATACTTTATTGAGTACACCATTTTAATAAAAGTATTATTTACATGTGTTTGACAATATAATACACATGAAACATTATTAACATGCTAATAAAAACAAATTGTTCTATTTGTTTCGCACAGTAGGGAGAATAATTCTTTGACTACTGATAAAAGTTTGGTCAAAGATTTGAAAAATATGGTAGATGAGCATAATGTTTTAACACAGATATTTAGAAGAACTAAAGACTTCATGGATAATGAGCCTACTTCTAATGTATCATTGAGG